GTTTTAGCGGGAGAAGGCAAAGGCAAGGCGTACTGGATCAGTGGAGCAAAGCATTCCTCTCCATCTAGCATCCAAACCTAAATTCGGAAATGAAATAAATGCCTCAAAATGTACACAGAAGGATGTTAACTGGAGAGCTTTGCTAGCCAAACGCGTAACTGTGTTATCCACACTTTATTCAACTCACTGGTAAGCTGAAATTTTCAGCTGGACCAAGTGCGCCTGCTGTACCCAGTTGATATGCGTAGCTGCCATCTCGAAAATCGTTTTGAACGTTTAAGTAATGGTACTCAAGGGCTGATCGTTCCCCTTGACTCTCATTTTTTTCCAAACGAGCCAGCAATGACGATTTTCCCGACTGATTTTCACCTGAATTAGAATGAAGAATATTTATAAGTAAATATCGGATTCAAACGCCTATGCCATGACTTCTAAAAGGTTTCTCTGAATAAAAAGAATATACCGAGAATGATGAGTGTTCCGCCCTGAAACGTCGATGATGACTTGGAACTAACTTCCGACAAGATTCTCGTCCTGAAAAGGAGAGGCAGTTCAATAAAAGTAGTCGCTTATAAGTACTCCAAAATCTGCAAGAACACACCAAAGCTTTTCATCCTCCTGTGGATGCATAGCTGATAACGCTGCAGAACTGCCAGTAGTTGGAAGTGTGAACCCCGCCGTGAGCTCCGAGGCCACCATTCGGAAAAATTTCCATGATAAGGAAGGTTTGAACAAGAAGCAAAAGCAAAAAGGAGGAAAGAAAGCTAAACAGTGGAACCGCATCAGGTACGATAAATTCGCAAGGAATATAGAACAACTTCAAAATTCTGCTAATGAAAGTATTTTGAGGGCAGACGCATTTTTTTGGTTGCAAGAGTTTTGCAGTAAAGTTAGTCTTAACAAGTGGTCCTTGAAAAAACAAGACTAACAATGGCGTCCTGCGTTTGATCTAAGCCATTGAAATGGTGTTTGAATTCGCGATAAAGCAGAAAAAGAAAATCATAATACACGTAAAAGAACGGTTTTTCCTTGGTGTTTGAGAGTATTTTTTTACAATTTGATGAAGTCAGTTTACAAGTCTGGCGAAGCTTTTGAATAACTTGCTATACTGACCATAAAACTCATCCGATTCATGAGTGCAATGTCCAAGATTTCAAAAAAAGGAGGTGTGATTTTAAATCTGTCAAAAA